AAGCCCGATTTGTGTATGAAATGCACAGACTGCTTAAACCGTGGTTCAGACCCCAATAAACCCGTGTACGGGGCAGAGAGGGGCTATGAGCAATCAGTTTGCTTCCTCTGTAATAGGCTCATATGCCCCCTCGAGTCACCAGCGTGGTTTCTCTGAGGCTTGACCACATAAAAGTGGGGAGGAACAAGACATCGAAGGCTGGATGCTCAGGGTCAGCTCAGACACTGCTTCTAGAAAGGTACAATTTGAGGAATCCATCCCTTCTCCTGGAGCAGTGGTTCTCCACTGTGGGCCCCCCAAGCAGAACCTATGGAAATATCTGGAGATGCAGGTCGTTTCACAAAAGAGCAGGGATTGCCGCTGGCATCGGATGGGAAGAGCCCTGGGATATTACCGAGCGTCCTGCAGTCCCCCACAACAAAGAACAACGCAGCCGCAAATGTCAGCAGTGCCAAGGAGACACTCTGGAGGGGAAAAGAGGTTCTCAACTCTGTTATGTACAAAAATGCGTGGTGGGGGAGAGCTTTAAAAATTCCTGGTGCCTGGGGCGCCTGGGTGGCTCTATGGGTTAAGCCTCTGCCTTTGGCTCAGGTCATGGTCTCAGGGTCCTGGGATCGAGCCCCAAATCAGGCTCTCTGCTCAGCGGGGAGCCTGCTTCCCCCCCTCTCTCTGCCTGCTTGTGATCTCTCTCTGTCAAATAAATAAATAAAATCTTAAAAAAAAAAAAAAATTCGTGGTGCCTGGATCTTACCCCATAGTAAAGAAATCAGTTTCTAAGGAGGAGGCTCAGGACTCAAATTTCAAAAGTTCTCAAGCAATCCTAACAGGCAAGCAGGACTCTGAGATCCATGAGGAAACAATGAACTTCTGCAAGCGTCCATCACCGGCCCCCCAGCCCTCCCCAGAACCAGCTCAGGGCTCCGCTCAGACAGGGGGTAGACACATATCCGTTGCCTGCATGGGCATCCAGACATTGGTCTATCATTAGTCCCACGCACATGCGGCACCGGGCTCGGACTGACTTTCAACGTTCTACTGGTGGTTGATTATAAGTCTTTCTTCTTTTTCTTTTTTTGTTTCACTCCATTATTCAGTACATCAAAAGGCTACAACTTCCAGCAGTCAGTCAGGGGTATACCAACACGCTTTCCACTAGAATAATTACATCCGAGACTGAAAGGTACAGAAACAATCTGGACAATATATTCATGCCAAAGAAGCTTACAGAATTAACTCACAATCTTTTTTGTCACCCCTCCTGGTCCTATGCAATAAAAAGAATTAGAAATTGCATATTAAACACAGTCCTGGAAACTGCCATTGCTCTCACTCAAGGAGAGAGGAAACGAGGAAATGAGAAAACAAATCCCAAACCAGGGCAGCAAGGCAAGTCTACCAGGAAATTACTAGCCCGAACCAGATTCCCCTGCAAACAGAATTATTTGATTGGTGACTCACTCACATTTAATCGAGTTATGGGCAATCTTCACAGAAGATTGGACAGAAGCTGTGAGTGGGGGAGGGACGAACAGGGAGCTTTAGTACTGAAAACTGCACCAGCCAACCTACCAGCCTGCCAATTGCTATTCAAGGGAGGGGTCAGCGGGGGGGGGGGGGGAGGAGGGGGCCTCCAGCCAGGTGTTCGGGAAGCCTGGGACCTTTATCCAGAGCCAAGGCTGGCACTGGAAAAACAAGGGTCCACAAGAGAACCCTATCCCTGGATGCAGGAGTAAACAACCTGTTCGACTGGGGGTGGGAGGGTCAGTCCTTGCCAGACGGAACAGGTGCAGGAGGACTCTGCAAGACAGGGCACTAATGTCGCCTTGGAGGAGGGGAGGGGCGGGGAGGAGGCTTCTGAGCTGCAGGGAAAGAATGGATCGTGCATCCGAGGGGCTTAACAGAGGACTCTCCTTGCTAAAAGGAGCAGCGCGTGCCAAGGCCTGGAGGCAAGGGAGAGCTGGGTGTGTGCGGGGGAGAAACCCCCAGAAGTCCAGCACAGCATGTCGTCCTTCAACAGGTGGGAGGAGTGGGGAGTTTGAGGCTGGAGAGGCAGCAGGGCCTGTCTATGAAAGCAAGCTGGGGGTCCTGACTTTGGAGCATGCACAAAGAGGTTTTTTCAAAGAGGAGAAAGGTGAGAATCCCGAAGAGGTAAGTCACCAAGTCAGAGGAAGGCACTGAGGCTGGTTTTGGACAGACGGAACAGACCTGCATGTCAGGGCCAGGGCCATTCTGTCTGCATGACCGGGGAGGGGGGGGGGGGGGGACTAGTCTGTAATCAGAGTAAAAATCACGCCTTCACCCTTGGGCTGCTGTGAGGATGGGTGAGATAAGACACACGGGGCTGGGGGGGGGGAGGGCAGATGATGGGGCGGCTGCCGTCACACCTGGAGAGCAAGAGGACTCCAGCAGGTGGTGAAGGGAATGAGGAAAGAGGACAGAGAAAGCCCTCAGCCCGTGGAAAAGCTTTTCTGGGAGCTCAAAGAAGGAAAGTAGGAATGAAGGAGGGAGTAAATGCACCAGCAATATAACCCACCATTTGGCATTTTCTCAAAATACTGTAGCAGAGATCGAGAAGACTGAAATTGCTTTTTGCTCATTTTTGGACGGCGGCCTGAGATTTCTTTGACTCTAGGCCAAGCTGTCATGGACCGTGAGTGACAGGTGGAAGGCCTGCTGCCTGGCCCACGGGACTCTGGGAAAAAGTTCGCTGCTGTGGTGAGCTCTACAGTTATGGGTGTTTTGAAGGCTAGATTGTCACAAGGGCCCCTTTCCAGGATACACATGGCTCTGCGTCCCCAACTCCCTCATTCATCCCAAGATCTGCCTCCATGGGGAGAAATGGGAGTCTCACCCAGCCTGGGGCCCGGAGCTGTCCCAATCTCTGACTTGTAATCACAGGGAGAGAACCTCTCTGCTTTGTGGACAACACGAGGCCTCCAGTAATGAGAAGGAAAGGCAGGTATCTGGTGAAGAAAGGCTATGTCTGGAGGGAAGCAGAGAATCTCACTCTCCAATAATTGCATTCCACAGGTTGCTGTCTCAGTAGCTGGAAGCAGTCAAGGGCTTGGTTAGGCTCTCATTCAGTAAGACTCTTACACATGCAGGATCAAGGGAAATCCAATTTTTAAGACAATTTTTTTTTTTTTTGGAATGCTCTGGAATAGAGACTTGTTTGGTCTCAGGACACCAGCCTATTTAATTCTTGAAACCGGACAATAACCAAAACTGATTTATATGACTTTCTGGATATTAAAATGTTAATAAAATTGTTGTCATGAAAACGAATCGCTTGTATTTTATTTTAACCATTCGCGAGGCCTCATCCCCTTTTCTAAAATTCATTTCCACTCACATAAAGAAATTGCTTTATCATCTGATTTAAAAAAAAAAAAATCAGTTTCTTTCCTCACTGTGCTTCCCCCTCCAGGGTGATTTATTTTCTCTATTGAAAAATGTTTATAACTGGCCAGGAATCTAAATGTTAAAAGCAAAGAAAAATGAAATCTTTGGAGATGAAAATAAGTGATCGATTTTTCTTCTTTCAGAGAAATTGCTAGCCCCAAAAGATGCAGAACATGGAAAGAAGAAACAAGTCATTACAACTCTAAACGCCTTTAAAGCAGACACTCATCCCTCTTCTTCTCATCTTTCTCTTCATCTAGACATTCCTGGACATTTCTAGAGCAAGTCTGGATGCCAGCCCTCGCTGGGGAAGCTCACAGATCAGAGCAGATGGCAAATACTTTTAGCAGATCACGGCAATGAAATGAGAGAGCAGCCTCCGGTGAAGACAGGTGCCAAGAACCACAGAGGCAAGAACACCAAAGATAAAGAAGGGAAGGGATGGCTTCACAGAGAAGGGAGAATTCAAGGAGGGTACTGACAGGTGAGAGGAGTTTTCTGAATGGAGAGGGGTGAAAAGACATCTGTTGTGTTGGGGAAACTGAATACCACAAACTAAAAGGAAGTAGATGGTTTCCTAAAAAAAAAAAAAATAAAAAAAATAAAAGGAAGTAGAGCTGAGGAGAGTGACTGAGGACAGACGTGTGCTGAAGACACAAAGCCAGTGCAGTGCCTAGATCTTATCCTGTAGGTGACATGGTAGCACGAGAAGGGGTCCTTTGTGGTGTTATGCAAGTCATTTTGGCTGCAGTTCAGAACATGGGCCAGAAGGGGGCCACCCTGAGCTGGGAGGCCAGTTAGGTAACTCTATAGGCTCTGGTCCAAGCAGGAGACCAGCAGGGCGTGCGCCTGGGCAGTGGGGATGTGGATGCAGAAGACAGGCAGGTATGAGACACCCCTGGAAGGCGGCATCAGCAGGACTGGAGGACCAGTCCCTCAGTGTCAGGTCTGCACGCAGAGCATGTGAAAAACTGCTGGCTGATAGCCAACTGGACGATTCATGCTGAGAAGAAAAACCAACAAACAAAATGCAAAACCCCCAAAAACCAAAAAGCAAAACAAAACAAACTTTGGTGGGGGATGGAAAAAGGCGGGAGGTATCCAATTGATAATAAAAAGGCAAAGGAAACTGAGTAAGGAAGAGGTTAAATTAGTTATCAGTCTCAGGCTTGGAAGAAGTCTTCTCTGATAAACAGTTTTCTAGCCTTTCTTTACATACTTCTGTTGACGGGGAGCTCACTACCTGTTGGGTCAGGCTGTTTCACTGATACCCTTGGGGAGCACCTTGAACCATAATCTTTTTTTTCTCTGGCTCCCTATGTACAGCTGTCTTTGAAATTTTTACTTTCGGTGGCTCCACGACACTTTCTGGAAACCTATTTGATTTAGCAGGAAGGCCTGAAGGACCTGTGTGTCCTCCCATCCTGCTGATGGAGGGTCCTCCACCAGAGTGTGGAGGGGTCTGGGAAAAAGTCATAGAGCAGGCACGCAATGGAATGTGTGTGGTTGCCCACTGCTGCTGCTGACCATGGATTTTAAGTTACTCTGGCCGCCTGCGTGCCCTGCCCCATCCCATCCCGTCAGAAAATCACCAATACCGTGCTTCTGCAGCCAGCAAAGCAGGCAGACAGGTAGGTGACGCCATCTGCCCCACACACTGGAGTGAAGGAATCGGTTTGGCATTCACAGTTTTTATTGCAGGGTGAGTAGGGGTCCAGGGCCGAGCCAGGTGCTGAGCTGGAAAAGAGAGGAAACACGGCACCCATCAGAGGAAGGGCAACTTCTGTTGGATCTCCCCAGTGACAGCCTTCCAAGCCCGACACCCCTTTCTTCTCCCCCTCCAACTCACCCCTCCCTGTCCTGCAAGGACCAGCCCAGCACCACCGCTGAGAGCTGTGCACAAGGGTGCTGGAAACAGAAGAAGCCTCTTCTTTATCATTTGCACAGTGTACCCTCCGGGCTGGAGGCAGCCCACACTCGGGAGTCCCTCCTGTGTGTCGCCACTCATGACTTCTGCAGCCTCAGCCTGGTGCCCCTTCCCTGACCCAACACCACCACCGGGCACAGCCAGACACTGCCTTCTCCCCATCCCGGGTCCGTCCTCGTCTCTGTCTGATCCCTCCTCCCAGCAAGCAGCAAGCCTCGTGATGCTTAACACACCACTACCACGAGCTGGGTTCAATAACTCTCGTCTGTTTGATTGATTCAACTCCCTGAGAAAAATAACACAAGTTATTTTAAATTTCCCTTTGTGCCATTAAAGGCACAATTACCTAGAGCAAGCGAGCTGCAAAGGGGAGAAGGATGGAGTGCGTGTCTTTAGCTCTGTAAGAGAGAAGCGTCTCTTTCCAGCATCATTATTTTCAGCTGTGCCTCCTAGGGCTCGGAGCGCTTCAGAGTAAGGACGATGATGGCGATATGTGCCAACTGATATGCCAGGCACTGTTCCCGGTACTGCGTATATCATTGTACTAGTTCTCAGCGTGACCCCGTAGGGCTGACAGAGAAGGAAACTGAGGCAAAGCCAAGCTGAGTCGCCTGCTCGAGTATATCCAGCTCGTACATGGGAAAGCGGGGGTGGGGAGGGAGGGGATTGGAGCTCTACCAATTGGGGCAGAGTTGGCAGTTGGATTGTAGGCTTTTTTTTTTCTTTTTTAATGAAGAAGAACTTCATTATCGTAAGACCCCGTGCTTTGAACCACTACAAGTTTACTACTTGAGAGCTGGCACAGAAGGCTGGCGGTCTTTCTCTCCAAATGCTGTTATTTATGGCAGGCACACACCAGAAGGTGCCGCATTTGGGAGAGGGAGGAACGGGGGCTGGGCTGGGCTGGGCTGGGGGGCCTGAGAGGCCATGGCGGTGGCAAAGGGGACAGAGGGGCAGTGTCTGTGCAAGACTATCCAGACAACACCCCCACCTGTGTTCTCCCATTCAGCCTGCCTGACCTTGTTGGAGGGGCAGATAAGACCGGCTCTCCTCTATCTTCTGGATACAGGACTATAGAAGAAAGCCTGATAGCCTGCCTGGAGGAGGAGACTGGTATCCTGCAGGTTGACGCTGCTGCAGCCTTGATGCTCCAGACTGATCTCCAAGCAGCTTCAGAGTCTCACACAGAAAGGGGGAGAGCTGTGGATGCTGGGCACGTAAGCACTCTCCATCATTCCCTCTGGGGCCGTTCTGACTGGGGCAATTTTGGCTCTAGGCCAAAGTCTTGGGCTAGTAACTAGGAAAAAGCTGTCCCATAAGAACCAACTTCCTTCCCTTCTTCTTCTTTTCTCCTTTTATTCCCTACCCCCTTCTCCCTCCCATATTTATCAATACCTACTCTGGGAGAGACCTTAAAATTACTATGGGAGCCCTATGATCGCTTCTGATAATTTCTGGAATGACTGAAATCTATTCCGTCTTTCACTTAAGGCTGAATTTTAAGGGGCACCTGGGTGGCTCAGCTGGGTGAATGTCCCACTCTTGATTTCATCTCAGGGCTGTGTGACTGAGCCCTGTTAACGGGCCCAGGGCTGGGTATGGAGCCTGCTTAAGATTTTCTCTCCCTCTGCTCCTTCCCCCACTTCTTTCTCTCTCCCATCATCTCAAAAAAAAAAAAAAAAAAAAAAAAAAAAAAAGCAAGTTGAATTTTTAAATAAAATTCATCTGTATTATCTATCTTCAGTTGTTCAAATGCCAAAAATGGTAACAGGAGTACTGTTGGGAGTGTCTCCCCCGTGCACTCCCGCTGAGCGGAATGCTCTGAGCTCTCCACCCAAAAGGTCCACTCGGGACCCTTCAACCCTGGGAGGAAGATACAGAAGCATCTTCGAACCCTCCACTCATGGCCACCCCCTGGGACAAAGCCGGCTCCGCTCCCCCTACCACGGAGAAAGAATCCAGGCATCCCTGGGCACGCAGGGGAGGAAGGGGACATTTCCAGGACTTACGCGTTTCCATAGGGAACAGTAACCCCAGCCACGGGGCCTGTGTCGCAGCCCAGGAAGAGGAAGGAGACATAGCAAGCTGTGGACACCAGGTTGACGAGCATGGCCATCCGAATGGCCCCAAGGGCAGAAAGACTGAGCTTCTTCACCAGGAGACCGCCCAAGAAGATTCCCAAGCAGGCACAGGGGATCGCAGTCATCCCTGGGAGAGAAACAGGGGGCGGGAACCGTTAGCAGGGGACGCAGGGCGCATCCCAGCAGACCAATGGGTGCCAGGTGCGGGGGGGCTAAGCCCTGCACAGGCCAAATTCCCAGTGACCCCCACTGCCGTGCTGCCTCCTCCAGGCTGCCTCCAAGTCTCCATGAGGGGCCTTATTTCTGCCCTCCGGGAACCCACGGAAAACTGGGGGAGACGGACGTGGAAACAGTCAGTGATGGGGAGTCCAAGGACCTCCGCCGATCTTCCGAAGGAAGGCATCCTCACAGGAAAGACCATGAGACAAAGACAGATGGACCGGGGACACGCACATGCTTCTCAGGGGTGTCACGATGACGGCGCACTCACATGTTCTCTGCATTTTTGAGGGGAGGTAGGGAAGGGGACTCAAGATCATTTGGGGATTTTCTCCCCTTTCCTCGTTAGCTGAGGAGGGCTTCCCAGAAGGGTCTGGTGGCTGTTTGAACAAAGGCCCCAGGACTCAGCAGCCCGTGCAGACGGCATTTTAACCCGCTCCCAGACCTCTCAGGAAGGAGCATCCTTCCATCAATATGTTTTGTAGCTCTTGGTGAGTCATTGGCATAAAATTTTCCCCTCTTATAAACAGAGCTATCTGCAAGGCAGCAGGGACCATAGACTTGTTATTTCTGATTCTCAGAGACTTGAGGAATTTTAGAAGGACTAAGTGATCCTAGGGTTCCAACCTCCCGTTTGGCTTTGCTCTGCCCTGATTTGCTTCATCTAAAACTCAGCTTTAAATTACGGTGCGTCATTTATCCACTGTGTGGGCGGTGCACGGCCAGTTTCCCAGTCTAGGCTGTCTCCTCTCCTTGCCAATCAGCAGACCTCGAGGTCAATCAGCTACATCAACCAGCTGGTATGTGCTAAGGGCATGCAAATTAATTTTAATATTAGGGGAAGAAAGACATAATCAGGAAGCCTGAGCTCTGCAAGAAAATAGCACAAGTCACATTTAAATGAAACACAGGATATCTCTGTATTATCTGAACCTCTTGGAATACCTATGCTTGGTTTTCTCTGGTTTTGATAGAGAAATGACCTTCATGGGGTGCCTGGGTGGCTCAGTCATTAAGTGTCTGCGTTCGGCTCAGGTCATGATCCCAGGGCCTGGGGTTGAGCCCTACATCAGGCTCCCTGCTCGGTAGGGAGCCTGCTTCTCCCTCTCCCATTCCCCCTGCTTGTGTTCCCTCTCTGTCAAATAAATAAAACCTTTAAGGAAAAAAAAAAAGAAAGAAAGGAAAAAAGAAAAAGAAATGACCTTCATGATCTAGCCCCCACATTGTTCCTTCTGCTCACCCCTGGCCCAGTGCGCCTCCTCTCTCTCCCTGGGACAGGCCAAACCTATACAGACCCCCAGGCTTTGCACCTGCTGGTCCTTCTCCTGGGACATTCTTAAAGAATTTTTTTTTTTTAAGATTTTTATTTATTTATTTGACAGTGAGAGAGATCACAAGTAGGCAGAGAGGCAGGCAGAGGTGGGGGGGTGGGGAAGCAGGCTCCCTGCTGAGCAGAGAGCCCAATGTGGGACTTGATCCCAGGACCCTGAGATCACGACCTGAGCCAAAGGCAGAGGCTCAACCCACTGAGCCACCCAGGCACCCTCTCCTGGGACATTCTTGTTCTGAGTCTCTCCTTGGCTGGTCCCGTACCCCCTTCAGAGAAGCCTTCCCAGACCATACCAACTAGAGTGACCCTATACTTCACCCAGGGGCTCCCTATCAGTCCTCACCCCATTTTATTATCTTCATGGCTCTCCCCCCCCATCTGAAGCTGCCTTACTCATTTTTGGTCTTGTTTCTTGTTCACTATCTCCCTCCTGAAATGCAGCTTCCCCCAGCGCAAGAACCTTTACTGTCCTCTTCAGTCTGGCACGGTTTCCCGTGCCTAGCACAGAGTGGGCACTCAAGGCTTCTTTTTGGGATGGATAAGTGGGGAGCAGGCTGGATCCGTGTGCATGCATACTGGTGAGGACATGCCCACGCCCAGAGAACAGACCTGTGCTTTGTTTCATTTCCTAGTGGAGACCGTGGGGAGCATCACCTGGTGAGGACGGTAACTATGGCAATAACAGTCTTTCAGCACCTTTTTTCCCAACCAGTCATCCGGCTGCTCTCTTCCTCCCTGATGCGTGTGCAGCCTTGGCATTCAGTTATCAGAACTTCTGTGAAACTCCACATCCTCATTACGCTAACCTATGCAGATTGGGCCCTTTTTATCTTTGCACATAAATCCATGCCATCAGCGCCTTAATCGTCTGTGCTGCCCTTCTCCAGACTCTGCCCCATTTGCCGATGGCTTCCAGGGTGGCCCAAAGCCCTGCGCCAATGTCCCTGGGTGACTGCGTGGGCCCCAGGTTCTGGGTCTGCAGGAGCTGAGGACTTTGAGGCAAGCCTTGCCTGGTGCTCCCAGTGTCCGTCTCTGTCCCCTGAACGTCCAGCGCCAGCCTGGCCGCAGCCAGCCCCACAGGGTCCATGCTGATCAGAGTGAAGACCCGAGCAGGGCACCAGGAGAGGCTGTGCATGCATGCGCGTATGCTACCTGCGTGGCCTGTCGGACAGACAGACCGACAGATGGCTCAGCAGGCGGCCTCTGCACTGCCGGAGAAGGTCCTCCCCCGCCAGGCACTCTGACAGACAGTCACGGAGAAAGAAATAGGTGCAGGACGGTGAGATTGTTTTTTTGATCTTCTGCCCTGAAGGCTATTGATTGGTTTGTCGATAGAAACTGTTCTGAGATAGAATCCGAGCCCAACGCCGAAGCAACCGTGCAAATGTAGCGAGAACGTGAGAACGGCAGCCCAGAAATGAGGAGGAAATGGAGCAGCTCGGGCTGCTGGAGGGCAAAACCAGAGACACCCCAGGTACAACCAAGAAGTTATGACTTTAATTATAAAGAGACCCGCTTTACCCTCTCTCTTCCAGACAGGTACTAGAGGGCTGCCTGCATTTTGCTAATACTTCTTGAAAGTGACACTTGACCAAAAAAAAAAAAAAAAAAAAAAAAAAAAAAAAAAGAAAAATTAGCCTTGCACAAGCCTCACAGTTCCCAAGGAGACGCTATGACCCAGCTACATCATCGTAGTAGGCTTTTAGGTTTTGTTTTTTTTTTTGTTTTTTTTTTTTTGTTTTTTTTTTTTTTTTAGTTGAGATACATTATGTCTTGGAAAGTGCACACAGCTTAAGCAAACAGCCAATGAATCCTTGCATCTGTATACACCCCTAGAACCACCACTCAGATCAAGCTCAGAACATTTCCAGCAGCCAAGGAAGGCTCCCCAGCTGCTGCCCGCCTCCCCCTCCCAGAAGGATAGTTCCCATCATCATGGCCTCTATCACTTTAATGAACTTTTCCCTCTTTAAACTCATATAAATATGTCCTCTTTCGTGCCTGACGTCTTTCAACTCGGTCAGGTTCATCCACACGGAGGCAGGTACGAAAAGGCCTGCTTTCTCAGGCTGTGTGGCAGCACCGTGCAAACATTCTATCATTTATCTACCCATTCTCCCCTTGACAGACGTCTGGGTGGCATTCATTTGGGGTTTTAGTGCCCTAGGCTGCTCTGAACGCAGTTACCGTGCAGATCTAAAGCAGCGGACTTGAGCATTCATTTCTGTTGGGTATACGCCCACAACTGGGACACATGGATCCCAGCAGAAAAACAAAAGGCTTGTTCAGAGGTGCTGCCCGAGAGCCGTCCAGAGAGATCACACCACCTGCCGTGCACGAGAGTTCCAGTTGCTCCACAGCCTCACCAACACTCGGTACTATCAGTTGGGTGGACGCGTAGCGGTAGCTCAGTGTGGTCTTCATGTGTGTTTTCCTGGTGACTCATGATGGGTTAGCACCTTTAAATTTGCTAATGGGCTGTGAGGTGAAGAAACAGGCAGTGTTGAAGGAGACCTTTGCTCTCAGCAGACGATCTGACCCCGTACTTTCCAGAGAAGGTCATTCATGGGGCCAGAGCTCTCTATCCATGCAGGGCCATACCGGCAGTAGTCTCAGTGGCCAGACTCATGCCTCTCTCCTTCTCTGCACTGGTAGAACCCATGAGCTCTTCTGCCGAGGGCTGTCCATCCACATCCCTCTCTTTCCTGCAAATCCCCTTCTGCTGGCTCCTTTCCTTCTGCTTAGCGAACTGCTCATGTTCCCTAGCAACACACCATCTCCTCCACAGACACAAAGACACACACCTGGTGTGGTCCCGCTCCGCTGCTCCACAGCTGAACTGTGAGACAGTGTCCTGAAGCTGCAGGCCACTCCTTCCTTCTTGGGGGCTGCTCTCCACATGGAGCATGGGCTCCTCACGGCCACTTCCTGGACACAGCTCTGACACAGGCTGGAGGACGTCCCGGTGGTTGTCACTAATGGTGAAGCCACAGCCCTCACTGTGCGGGCACACCCACGCAGCTGCCCGCTTCCTCCTGGGAATCATCTCTCCCTTGACTCCCATGACCTGTGGGCTTCTTTCCGACTCCCCCTCGGACTCCTGTGTTTCCTCACAGTTGGGAATTTACTCTTCTTTTCCAATTCACTTTCTTGTTGCATAGCTTCCACTCGCATGTCCTCCACTTCCACCCGGATGTACCCCGATGCGAGCAAACTTCTATTCCTCCATGGGGTCTCCTTCCCGAGCCCCTCCGGAGTACAGGATGCCACAGAGACACACCACAGGTGTCTCACACTCAGCAACTTCAAATGTGATCTCATAATCTCCCTCACGGATCTGATTCTTCTCTACTGTTTCCAGGTTCTCAGGTTTCCAAAATGGCGCCACCAGCTGTCCAAGCCAGAAACATGGGCGTCCTTGACTCTTCTGTCTCCCTTGTCAGGCGTGAGGTTATTTCCCAACTCCATGTAAATAATGCTGCTTCCCACAAGGGCAAACTGGTTTTCCTTACCATGACCACTCCAAACAGTGGAGATGCCTACAGTCTCCTACTGAGAAGGATGGTAAGGCCATGCTTGCACTTGGGGAGATGGAGTGCCATGATCCATTAATTATGTCTGCCGTGGACAGGGGTCAGGAAGGGAGTGTATGGCTTCCAAGTTTTATATTTGTGGACTATGCATTTCACGCTGTCAAGAACATTCTTACTTTTTTATGTGCCTGACCACAGCCTGCCAACCTTTCTGGATAGGTCTTGATGTCCCTCTTCCTTCATCTTATCTTCCCCCAAATTCTGCAGTTCATACCAATCTACTGATCTCCTGGCCTACTGCAATGCTTCCTACGTATATTTTATATCTTAGCTCTTTCTTATCACATCCTCTCGGCAAATCTTAACGCTAGAATAGACTCTAAAATTCCTTCCGCGCACATATCCCAGGAATACTGCTGCTGTGGACGCAGCAGCCCTCTGCCCTCCTCGGGGACGGTGGGGATGAAAAAGCAGACTCACCGAGCAGCTGGTTGGCGGAAGAGGTGGTAAGGTTGAACTGCTGTTCCAGGTACTTCCCCAAGAAGGCAGCAAAGCCAGCCACCACCGCGATCTCCATGCAGGCGGCCAGGATGATGCAGGTGAACACAGGGTTTGAGAGCAGGTGCTTGGTGACCTTTGGGATCACTGCAGGGAGAGAGAAGAAGAGGGTCAAATGCAGCGCTGCCAGGCTTCCTGCCCCCAGAGTTCCTCCTCGACACACTTTTGTCCATCTCAGTAAGCGGCGTCGGGAGTCACCCGGTGACTCAGGCTGGAACCTAGAACTGGTAAGCCACCCACAAAGCGTGAAAACTCTGGCTTCAAGGGATCTGCAGATATTCTGACAATTAACAGAGAACTACTATAATAGGGGAGACTCTAGCGTGCCTTTTCTTGGCTTTACTGGAGACATTGAAATATTCTATAAGCAGTGACAAATTATTTCCATCCTCCCCAAGAGAGTCTGGGTTTCTCAAAGGAAAAAAATGTAATTATATACTATAAATTATGGTGCACCAGTGTACCTAAGCATATATAGCCATCGACCTGAGATAAATATATTTTTTAAAGATTTTATTTATTTATTTGACAGAGATCACCCGTAGGCAGAGAGGCAGGCAGAGAGAGAGGAGGAAGCAGGCTCCCTGCTGAGGAGAGAGCCCAACGCGGGGCTCGATCCCAGGACCCTGAGATCATGACCTGAGCTGAAGGCAGAGGCTTAACCCACTGAGCCACCCAGGTGCCCCCTGAGATAGATATTTATAACTCTCTAGGTGTGTTAAGAAAATATATTTAATCTTAACAGGCGTCAAGAAAAAAGCTGGAATTCTAGTGCATGCATACATATACACACACACAAATATGCTGAATCAAACCCCACCTCTTCTCACTGGTCTAGGGTCACCTCCCCGGCAAAAGCTTCCATAAGCTCTCCCATGCGGGACTCCTAGAGAGACCCAACTTGGGGTCTTGGTTTTCACTCTCAATCTGCCATAATCATTTCTTACATGGTAGCCAGTGGGATCAACTCAAATCACTTTCCTGCTCAGAACTCCCTGATGGCCCAACAGCCACGGTCTGCCCCTTAGCAATCGATGACACTTCCCGCCCGGCCCCCTCTCCCTCCAGTCCAGCCTGCCCGCTCCTGCTCTTTCTTGCCTTGCACGGGTCCTCCCTACCGAACCCTTAGCACTAGGGGCTCCTCCTCCCTCTCCTGGGACGCTCTGCCCCCAGACCTTTCCTGCATCTCTTCCCTCATCCTCAGATGGGCTTTTTTCATCATCCAGTCCCACCTGGAAGAAGCTGCCCACACAGCCTAGTGCCCTGGGCTCAGGTGAGAACTCAGGATGGGCAGAAGCACCTCGTGGCTTGTGCCACATGAAGTACCACAAGAGCCGGAAAACAGCTCTTGCTGAGGTCATCCATTTTGATCATATCTTATTATATTCTATTCTTCTCGAAGTATGTCGTTTCGTAAACCACTTAAGATTCCCCACTTATGTCGGTGCTTTAAAAAAAAATGTGAGTTTTTTAATCCTTTGAATGCAATCAATGACATATCCTGGCAGGAGGCCAAGGGGCTCTGCAGGTACAGGAACCAGGACGACCCCAATGCTTCAATGTTTACACCATTATTTTAATGTGTACTTGCAAAAAAAGTCAACGGAAACGAAATTGATACAGCAATGTGTGATTTCACGGCTCTCGCAGCTTAAAACGATGCCAGGTTAAAACAGGTAGATTTGAAGTAATTTAAAGAGAAGTCTTATGTAAATAACAGCACAGGTGGTAAACAGATAAGGCAAAAAGTGATGGACTGGGGACTACAGTTAGGGGAAGTCTGTTCCGTTGTAATCATAATGATATGGGATATTTGACATGGGGTCTACTTTCCACCTGTGTAAACAGAAAAGATAAAACTGAGTCCCAGATGGAGCCAGTATTATTCTAAGTCTAGGAAAAAACCTGTAGGTACTCGTGGTCATAGCACATAAACAGGTGAGCAGGGAATCTAACACCGCATTCCAAAGTGATGAATTAGCCAGCTGTCCTAAAGAAGAGAGCTAATTACACAGTCAATCTCATCTCCTAGGAGATGAAACCTCTAAGTGGCCCAGCTAATTAGAATAAAATAATAATAGGGGATACATAAGTTTTTAATAATGGTAACAGACAAGCTCAATAAATCAAAATGGCAGAACAATGGGTCAGTAAATGGCAGATACACACTGCTCAAAATGTATCATTTCCGTGAAAGATACCAAGTTTCAAAAATGAAAATCTAAGGGGAGGGACTTCAAGATCTCCCGACGTGATAAAAAGAACTCAGTTATGGGAATGAACGGAGTCAGACGACTAGAAGCTCAGAATCACAGTGGGCTGAGCAAGCAGATCCCACGTCCCAACTAAGAAACAACCAGAGTTGATGGCCTTTTCTGTCATAGTTTCTCACAAAATTTACTAAAACCTTAGGAAGGCAACTCCCGCATGATATAACCGTGCACAAGCACACACACACACGTGACACAAAAACCCAGAAACTTTAAGTCTACAGTATTCATTCAATTCTACCTGCTTCCCGCCCCCCACCCCCAAAATGCACTGGACTTTACCTGTGTTTTGTTTATTTATTTTTGCAGGGTTTAAGCATACAAGACTTTTTTTTTTTTTTAATGTCAGTTCAGGGGCACCTGAGTAGCTCAGTTAAGTGTCTGACTTCAGCTCAGGTCATGATCTCAGGGTCCTGGATCGAGCCCCACATTGGGCTCCCTGTTTCAGGGATCCTGCTTGTCCCTCTCCTCCCAACTTGTGCTCTCTCTCTCTCTCACTATTTCTCTCTCAAGTAAATAAACAAAAATCTTAAAAAATAAAAATGTCAGTTCAAATAAATGCCAAAAAGTGGTTACACTTAAAAATATTTTTAAATGCTGCGAAATCTTCCTGTTAACGTTATTTTTAAAGAATTGTACAAATATTTAAAGGCCTGCTGACTCTGTAATGTCTAAAAACGTGGACTGCTCGAGAAATGCCAAAGACGAATACACTGGGTGTAAACAGAGGGTAATGCAGTTTCCGTCTTTGAACACAAAAGCCCAGTGGATATTAAGACGCCATCATCTGAAATCTCTAATGAGTGGGGGCTGATTTGCTATGGCGTGTGGCACACTGTGACGGTGTACTGTCCCTGTGATAAGGGACTGGTTGACTGTGTCCTTCCACACTGCAAAGAGACGGGTCCGGACCACATCAGCTGACCACGGCACCTCCTGGTAAATGAATGTCAAAGCTACCACCGGTTTATGCCTTGGCAGATCAAAACACTGTGGCTCCACCATTGTGCTCTTTTGGAATTAAGATATCTGAACTGTGGAAACACTGCCAACAACCAGTAGGCAGGTTGGGGTCCTTCCAGGAAAACGATCCTCTGCCGGAGTTTTCATTGTAGGCTTCATTTCCTTTGTTAGGGTGTCGTCCATTCCGACGGGGACTTAGAAAGAAGCATGACAGCCACACTTGCTTCCAAATGAAACTGTGCCCTCCAACTAGGAACTCTGCTCTCCCGCTCAGAAACTGCGCCAAAAAGGATTTAAGTGTGATCCCATTACTTGGGTCTTGGTATCTCCTTGCCCTTGATCATGGCCATCGTGACTGCCTGGGGGGAAAGGGAGGGCACATCTCGACAATGCAACTCCAGCTAATGGGGTGTTTTCATACTTCAGCAACCATTTTAATTATTCCAGAGTTAATTCCACTTCAGTGGGAGGATGCTTTGTTGAGATCGGAGAGCTGCCTGCTTTTGTCTTAATATCTAATGACTAATTTCATGTTGAATTAGATGCGAAAATCATTAGGTTTGAGGATCCTCTGACGGAAGGCCCAGGGAAAGCTCAGTGGACCTTATTTGCATGAAGAACATTCTCTTTTTCCCTCTATCAACCCGATTCGCTGCCAGAAATGACGGATTCCTCTCGCGTCTAGCTATTTTGCTGCAAGGTTCCTCCCTTCCATCCTAGGTTTTATTGCGATGACTTGCTAGCACTCTCCGAAGATTCCTATCAAAGGTTCAGCCTACCCTCCAAAACCCCAATTTGAAAAGGGGTATTAATTAGCTCGAACCTAGGGCTATCCCTGTATTTCAAGCTTTTTCATTCAAATGGGTTGTTAAACCCATAAAATTCTAACCTTCAAGGAGGCAGCAGGTAACGAGGTGGCCCAGACACACAGAAACTGATGAACCGAGGCCGTGCGAGGCCACTGAACACCATGGTCCCCCTTAGCCAATCACTTCCACCTAGTGATTCTGCCTCAGAAGCTGGGAGCTGGGGTAGGAGGCGGGCTGGCACCAGGTGGCAAACAGCAGCGGGGCAGTTTCTCAGGGAAAACAGGTTTTCCACTGCTGCCTTTCGAAGACTTTCTTGTAGAATTGAGATTTCTTGAAAACGTGTATGTAAGTCCTCCAGGAGGGAGAAAGGCAGGCTTGGAGAAGGTGTGAGGGCTGCCAGGGACAGAGCATTAGCTGGGGGCCAAGTACTGTTCTGACCATCGAAACATCCAATCGCATAATTCTCCCAACAGACCTGTGTTCTTGGGGGCTATGGACAGCCTCCGTTTACACGTAAGGAAACCGAGGCAGAGAGTGGTCCCACGGTTAGGAAAGCATGGTGAAAACTCAAACCATGGGACCTGCTGCCCCAGAGCGTGCTCAGAGCCTGGGTGTAATTCTGGTTTGGGTTTTCAGAAGCTCTGCTCTTGGTCTTGGACATGCAGAGACCAAAGTAGCTTAACGCTTAGAAAGCACATAAAAATTCCTGCTGGGGCTGGGGGAAAGGACTCAAGGGTTTGGTCGTCATTTTTTGGAGAAGGAGAGGTAGGACAGGAAGGGAGGGAAACAGGATAAAGAAAAGGCTTGCCGAGCCCAAAGGGGAAGAGTTCTATGCTGCAGGAAAATTTGACTGAGCAAGGTTGTATAAAATAAGATTTGAGGAGTCAGGTCACTGGGACCTGAATTCTATCTTCAAGACTGAGTAGGTCTGTGCTCGGAGCATACCACTCCGTCCCATGTGTTGCTGCAAAGATTAAATGAGACCCATGAATGCAGAACAGGTGACCCAGTGCTTCTGCCACTCAGGTAAGGTGAGCACGATGAT